AAAAAAAAAAAAGAGGGCAATTTGTGCCCCAGTGGACATTTGACAATGTCTGGACACGTCTTTTGTGGTCACAACTGGGTGTGGGGGTTCCTGGCATCTAGTGAGGACAGGAATGCTGCTCCACCTCCTACAGAACATAGGACGGCCCCCACAACTCAGTGACCCAGCACAAAATGTCCACCTTGGTGTGGTTGGCCGGGTGCCGTGGCTCACGCCTGTATAATCACAGTACAACTTTGTGAGGCCAAGGCAGGTGGATCACTGGAGCCCCGGAGTTTTGAGAGCAGCCTGGGTAACATAGCGAAACACTGTCTCTATTATTATTTTTCTAAAAATTGGTGCGGTTGAGAAACGCTGGAACAGTGTGACAGGCTGAGCAATTCATATCTGGACCACGGTAGGCAGCGATCAAAGGCAAGATGAACATGAGCTCACAGGAGATGCTGACTGACCCCCGCTTAGGTATGTCTTCAGGTCCTCCAGGAGCAAAGCACTAATGTGTGCACCTCACCATCTGTGTTTCAGGGCACATTCCAATGCAATCTCAAACTGCTGTTTTACCTTCAGTGGCCATTTCCTGTGTACAAGCTCCTGGGATAAAAACTTAAAAATATGGAACGTCCACACAGGGGAGTTTCGAAACCGTGGAGCCTGTGTGACCCTGATGCAGGGCCACGAAGGTTCCGTCAGTTCCTGTCACTTTGCCAGAGACAGTGAGTAATTAACACACAGAAGGCTTCCATTCCCGTGGGAGTGCTGGGCAGAGTTCTCCATGTTCCGTTCAAATGGAGAAGCGATTTCCAATGATGCTGACAGGGAGGGCGGATTCTTCCCCACGAGAACAAAAAAGCCAAGAGGGAAGACCACAGGCACCAGTTTACCGTGGTAGAAACTCAGCTCAATGTGGCTTATGCAACCAAAGAAATTGATTAATCCTGTAATGGAAAACTCCAAGAGCAGGTCTGACTTCAGGCATCGATGGGACAAGAGAGTCAATGCTGCTGGGAACCCAACTCTTCCACTCTGTCTCTCAACCTAGCTTCCCTGTGTATCAGCCTTTACCCCCAAGGAGGCAAAGATGGCCAGATGCGGTGGCTCATGCCTGTAATCCCAATGCTTTGGGAGGCCGAGGTGGGAGGATTGCTTGAAGCCAGGAGTTCAAGACCAGCCTGGGCAACATAGCAAGACCCTGTCTCTACAAAAAAACTAAAAAATTAGCTGGGTGTGGTGGTGCACACCTGTAGTCTCAGCTCTTCAAGAGGCTGAGGTGGGAGGATCACTTGAGCCCAGGAGTTTGAGACTGCAGTGAGCTGTGATTGTGCTACTGTACTCCAGCCTGGGCAACAGAGTGAGACCCTGTGTCTTTAAAC